AATTAAATCCTGTTTCCAGCTAGCAGAAGGGTATTTGAAATACAGATTGATTATGTACAATAGACCTTGTTCAAAGCATATTCATGTAAGATGGCATGTAGTTTAAATAAGGCAAAATTATATCTTGTCTATGATCTATGTGCTATTAAACAGCTTTAAAATGTAAATTATTAATTAAAACCTGTGAACTAGTAACATTTTGGAATGATTGTTTGATAGCTAACAGGACTTGTGTGACTTTTGAGAGGCGTTGATTTTCTTTCATGTCAGCTAATAGAAATGCCATTGTAATCATAAAAGGCACAGAGAAATTATGTCACAAGAGGATGGTATTTAACTGGAAGTGAACACAGAATATATTAATGTATCAGTGTTCTTATCAACAGTGTGTTATAATGACTTCTGATTAACACCGAAAAGATGATTGATGTTCCTGGGATTGTAGAGCACTGAAAATGTGACATTGAGAGAATTGAATCCAAAGCTTGTTAATTTCATAGAATCATTCAATTTCTCATTACTCCTTTGGGACTGTGTTTGTTTTTGTAACCATTACAATGTAGTCACAATTTAACAGGATCTTTCAAAAACAATAGTAAGGAAAAAACCCTTAAAATTGTCACCTAGGGTGATTATTACTAGAAACAGGAAAGATGATTTCAGTATGTTATTTTTATTTTGTTTTAAAATAAATTTTATTAGGCTGATTTTTATTCAGGAGTCACATTTAAACTGATGCAAACCAAAGTCATAAAGGACTCCCAAGTCAAGGTAATAGTTGACATCAACAGCACCAACGTATGTAGGCTGATTTAGTTTTTCCATGGCCAAAGAAGAAAGGAAGCATATTTGATGTGAATTCCTCTATGAGAAACATAGCAGGCATGCCGGGTCCTAGATTAGTATAAAGCTAATGACTACTGATTGAGAGCAGGTGGAGAAAGGGAAGGGGGTGTAGCTGAGGATCAGTAGAGTTTATCTTAGTCAAATACTTTTATTATTAAAAGTATAGAAAATATAAGGCTTGCTAAATTTACATATCATAACTAGTGCATCTATTTTATTAAACTCATGCTTTACATGGGTTGAAAAGCAATGTTTACAAGAAGAACACTGATATGGAAAGTAATATAGTTAGCAGAAATAAACTGTGGGTGTTTCAAATAAGATCATCTACAAAAATTTTATTGGAACCAGAATATGGTATTTGTCTTGTATTTTTAGATTAGCATGTCTGAACTTTGTATCAGTCAGAGGAAAATGTAATGATTGGCCCTAACCACTTGGAATGTCATAATCATAGTAGTTACCACTACCCAGTAGTAGTAATTACCAATATTCCAGGCTTTAGTCTAGTTACTTTACATTCATAATTTTATTTAATCCCTATAACAACCCTGCTAAAATAGGTATGTTCATTTCATCTTTTATCTTCGTAAATGACCTACTTAACACTCTCCCATCAGTTTGATTGAAAAATTTGAAACTACCCCCAAAATCTTTCTCATCTAACCTGGCAAAAACTCTGCAGTCCATCTTACATAAGCACATATATATTTTGTTTTGGTTTCTCCTTCCCTACAAAGGCCAATCCTTCCATTGGGCTCTCATTATCACCTTTTGGGCTTTACAAGGACCTTATTCTATCTGTGTCCTGAATCATCAATCTCTTTCTTTACTTGATCATTTATTTCAGTATAGTGACCTTACCCTCCACACCCTTTGGTATTCTTTCTAAATCTCACCTCTTATTCATAGCCAACTCAAGAGTTCTCATGACTGTGGTCTCCATGTCCTTATCTGCTATCTACTATCCACTTCTCTTCCCCAAACTCTATTGAAACTTTTCTTGCCAAGATCACATATGACCAACATGTTTTATCTTGTATGCTCACAAATTATTCCACCTCTAGTTGTTGCTTTTTGCACACACTCTCACTCATCTCTATGGTTCTCTACCTCTGTATATAGATATTTTCAAGGTTATCTCCAAGACAACTATCCATCAATTTGCTCATGCCGAAAGTTTAAGAGTCACCCCAGCAGGTTTACCTTCATAGCTATGACTTCAAATATGATATATATGCTGATAAATCCCATTCTTAGCACTAAGCTTGTTTTCCTGCAACTAGATGGTCCTATCTGGGGGTGATGGGAGACAGTGACAAATGATCAGGCATTAGATTCTCATAAGTAGTGTGCAACTTAGATACCTCACATGTGCAGTTGACAATAGGGTTTGTGTGCTATGAGACTAATGCCACTGCTGATCTAATAGGAGGCAGAGCTCAGGCAATAATGTGAGTGAGGGTGTGTGGCTGTAATTAAAGATGAAGCTTTGCTCACTTGCCTGCCACTCACCTCCTGCTGTGTGGTTTGGGGTTGGAGATCCCTGTTTTATAATTATTTGTAATATTGTCGCTTAGATAGCTCATGGATAATACAAATTTAATAGACCCAAAATGAAATTCTTGAATTCCTTTAAATAATACCAATAATTTATTCCAATTAGACCACAGTAAGTTTGTTAAAAAAAATAAGCAAAACAAAAAAATGTACAATATGTAATCTTTAGAACACATGATGGATAATCTCAACTTTCACATCTCCCATCCATTCCTCTAAGATAACCAATGTGCATTTTTAAAAAGTCCATTCTATAACTTTATACCAATTTAACAAGAAGCTCATATTAGATTTTTACTGTTTTTTCTTCTGTAGTAGGATAATGATACATCAATATTTAGTGACTTTTTTTTTTAGAAATATGACATTAAGAATATTCCAAGTCAAACCGTTTAGATTTGATGTATTCTCTCTAATCTTCAATGATACAACATTCTATGCATGTTCCAGATATGATTCAATGATGTGCACTGCTATATTATTAAATTATTTCCAATCCATATTATTAATATTTTAAATTTAAAGCAAATATATTATACACAAAAAGCCCACAATATCCTGCTTCCTATTGCACTTTCATTGAAACCTTGCCCATTATGCATTAACAACACTGGCTTCTATTCAATATCATGAAACTTCCCTGCATTTTTTTTATCCAGAAATTTAGTACTGTTTTTTTTTTTTTTATTCTGGAAGAAATGCTTTCCTTGTTCCTTATCATCATTGGATGGCTGTGTCTTTCTCATCTATCAGATCATTACTCTCTTCATTTCTTTTACAGGATCTCTTGGGTAAAAAGTTAAACTGTTGTGACAGAGACCCAAAAACAAATGCCTCAAACAAGAGAGAAGTTTACTTATATGTAATATAATGATCTAAAGTTGATGTTCCAGGTTAGCCATGTTTCTACTCCAGGTAGTCACTCAAATACCCAGGTGAATGGTGGCTCTTTTGCGTTCAACATATGGCTTTCCAGATCTTCCATATCACTGGCAATTTAGGTGGAGTGGTGGTAGGTCGATCAGAAACATCAAAATTTGTGGAGATTTCCTCCCAAACATACTAAGTGCAAGTTTCACTCATCATTTTTGCTTGCCATATTTAGCTGCAAAGAAGTCTGGGAAATGTAATCTCTGGTTATACAAGCATGTTTGATCAACAAGTCTACTATCATGGAAGAAGGGAGAATAGATCTTGGTAGACAATTTCAGTCTATGCTCAGAACACTTACCACAATTTGTAAATGATGTATTTGTTTGTTTTTAAAACAATCTTCTGATCTTCCTATTAGATAGTAAGCAGAGCAAGCGTAAAATACCTGCTTCTTTTATTGTTTTATTCACAACTAAACCTTCTGCCCTAAATACAACTTCTGTCTTTTAGTAGATTCTCTTTTTTTTTTTTTTTTTTTTTTTTTTTTTTTTTTTTTTTTTTTTTTTTTTTTTCTCTTCCACCTCTCCTCCCCTTCCCCTTCCCCTTCCCCCTCCTCCTTCTCTTCCTTCTCCTCCTCATCTTTTTCTTCTTTTTTGAGATTGAGCCTGACTCTGTCGCCCAGGCTGGAGACTAATTCTGGTGTGGCTCCAACTCCCAGGCTGGAGTGCAATGGTGCTATCTTTGCTCATTGCAACCTCCACCTTCTGGTGGAGGGTTCAAGCAGTTCTCAAGCCTCAGCCTCCTGACACAGATGGGATTATGGGTGTGTGCCACCGTGTCTAGCTAATTTTTGTAATTTTAGTAGAGGTAGGGTTTTGCCATAATGGCCAAGCTGGTCTCAAACTTCTGGCCACAAGTATTCTTCCCTCGTCAGCTTCCCAAAGTGCTGGGATTACAGGAGTGAGCCACCACACCTAGCCTAGTAGGTTAATTCATTAAATAACTGATTGAATGAATGAAAGGATTTTAAAGGTAAAGAAACTGAGGCTCAAAGAATTTAAACAATTTAAGAGAATGAGTGACCATTATTCAGGAAGGTGGAAAAATGTATGCCTCAGATGGATGGCTTAACAAGGTAGCTAGTAAGCACTCTGAATTTCTGTGATTCTGTTATGTAGGAAATCACCACATTCCAAATAAGATCATGAGCCTGCTTTGTAAAGGAATAACTCAAGAGAAAATTGAAAATATACTTTCTGTCTCATTGCTTCTGTCACAGAGAACTCTTTCCCTCACACTATTACATCCTAAATTCTCATAGATGCCAACCACACATTAAAATGGCAACCATTAATCTAAGATGCTGGAAGACTGCAGCAAACTTGTGACATACCTTTTTAAAATCACACCTTCCTTGGACAGGTTTGCCTGTAAATATGCGTTGGGTGTAACAGATTTCCTGCTAGGCTACACTGGAAGAACAAAAGTAAACAGATAGTATTATCTTTATCACATACTGTGTTTAATTAAAAAGAAAGAAAGAAACACAAGATTTTGCAAGATAATAATCAGTGCAGTTAAATTGATTGTCAACTGTCTTCTGATCAGCAAAGTATGAGTATTCATTCCCCTTAATAATAAAAATACTCTGGAGATTCTTCTTTCAAATGTTTCTTCTGCAAAGTAACTAATTATAAATCTGATTTTCTTTGTTTTCCAAGATATTGAAGACTTTGAAACTAAAACAAGAAGCACAGTATCTGTCCGAGAAGGTCAAGGTGTGGTGCTTCTCTGTGGTCCACCACCACATTTTGGAGGTATGATGGGGTAATTTGGGTCACATCATTAATGTGGTCACTTGGAGAGTGATGTGACCACATCAGGTCTTAGAGTCAATGATAACGTTTCATCAAATCAAAGGAACTGTGAAATCTTTTCAAGCTCATCTACTGCATACAAGCAGTTCTATATTCAAATGTTTTCTACTAAAAATATTTGTTTAAGGCTCCGCACAGCAAATATGTCTTTAAGGAGATACAGCATGGCATTGTACATAGGGTGAGTACCAGGGCTTTGTTGAGAAACTGACCACAGCTATAATTTGGTGCTGTGACAGGCAAACTTCATGACAAGGGGGCAATTTATTTAACCCACCTTGAGGCTTGCTTTTCTCCTCTATAAAATAGAAACATTAACTGATGTTTGTGTTTAGTTTTGTTGCAAATGTTAAATGAGCTAATAAATGTAAATTAAGTAGTGTAATGACTAGTAGTTTAATAAGCAACGAAAGTTAAGATTTTTACTACATTTTTATTTTTGAGCTCTATGAAGCAAATTCCAACCAACACTCCTCTTGGTAACATCACATTAATTATTGAACAAGATAATTACCCATTAACTGGAAGCAAATTCTGTATAGCACCAAATCAGAATGTCTCCCAGCAATAGTAAAAATCAAGCAATAAATGCCAACCTCTACTTTGGAAGACTCTGGATTGGTCAGTGGATTGCCTGTTGTCAGGTGTCCAAAGCACTTACTGATTCTCATCCCTTTGGGAAGAAATGTCCCAAATTTCACATAATTTGGTAAACTTAGTCATGATTCTCAACTAACAGTGAACCTGGAGGAGGTAATGTGAAAACATCCATGGAGTCATTTGGTACAATCCAATATCACTCTGACTATACAAAACACAGACTCGAGGACTTTAACATGTATTAGATTCTTGAATTTTCACAAAAACTTATAAGAGATATATGAGTATAATTATTGTTTTACAGGCTGAGTACACTGTAGAGAGGTAGAAAGAGGTTAATTAACTGGTCCAAGGTCATGCAGCTGGCAGGCAATGAAGCCAGTATTCAAATCTGGGAAGTCTGTCTCCCAGACCCTCAGCTCTTAACTATAACTACCCTTATTATAATTGATTTCCACTCTGGAACAGGAGAACTTTTAATATATGCAGGACAGACGTTTAAAAATAAAATTTAAGCAATTTACTTTTAGTGTTAAACCAAATATTATTTATGAGCCATGAGAAACTTGAAAGTATTTTTCTATTATTATTTTTACACAACCTCATACATTTCCATTAGCAAAAGAAAAGAAAGCTAATTCAAAGTTAGCAATATCTTATTCAGTATTATAACAGAGTATTATGGCATTACATTCACCTGAAATGACAGGGGAGAGTTGCACTGCTTTTAATGCTAAATTGAGATAAAATAATATTGTTGCAGAGCACACAAAAATTGCTCAGGCTTTTTGTTGATGCTGATTTTTTAACTATATAGAAAACTATTTTCCAGCACCATAATCTAAGATGACAAAACATGCAAAATCATATCAGTTTCTGCTGTCAGTCTATGTCATATTATGCTCTGATGTTATCCAAAGATTCTTTACACTTCTGAAAATTGTTTTCAAGTTTGTTTAGTTGGGAATAGAAGAAATGTCAAATATTTGTAAATGAATCAGCTCTATATGTAAAAAATAAAAAAATGTATATACGGATATATAAGGCAGGCAGACAGGAAACACTTGTTCATTACCTTGTCACCTATCAATAGTAAAGAATATGTTGATCTTCTTAAAGCATGGGAGGCCCTCATTATAATGGTGCCCCTGGGATCAATGCCATAAAATTAAGTCACAGATATACAAAAACTGCCTTAAATTAAGACCTTTGTAACTGAATAATTTTGCTGCATGGGAGTAAGGGCAAACATATCTGATACCAATTTTTTTTTTTTTTTTTTTTTTTTTTTTTTTTTTTTTTTTGAGATGGAGGCTTGCTCTGTCTCCTAGGCTGGAGTGCAGTGGCAAGATCTAGGCTCACTGCAACCTCTGCCTCCCAGGTTCGAGTGATTCTCCTAACTTAGCCTCCTGAGTAGCTGGGATTATAGGTGCACACCGCCACACCCAGCTAATTTTTATATAAAAATATAAAGTAGAGATGGGGTTTTACCATGTTGGCCAGGCTGGTCTCGAACTCCTGACCTCAGGTGATCCACCTGCCCTGGCCTCCAAAAGTGCTGGGATTGCAGGTGTCAGCCACCATGCTTGGCCCCAAATTTAATTATGTTACAAGTAGCATCTTATCACAATTCCAAGCATATTTGTTGGCTGAAAACTGTTTCTTCCTAAAGTTAAAATCCCTGTGTCCTTGATGACATGCAGTTAAGGGACACTCTCAACTTGTAGAGGCTGCTGAATTTCTTGCAATGAGCATTTGTCCATTGTCAAAACCAGCAACAGAGAATCTCTCTCACATGAAGTCCCTCAAATACTTCAAGCCTCGTTAGCTAGGAAGAGACCCATCTCTTGTAAGGGCTTACCAGATAAGAATCATGCCCACAAAAGCTGAAGTCAGTTTCTTTAAATCAACCTGTGCCATCTAATTCTTATCCAGCCATGAGTGTGATCTTTTATGCTGTTACAAGTCCCACCCACACTCTGATGAAGAGAATTATACAAGGGCATGGGTCATTGAAGGTCGTCTTAGAATTTTGTCCTACAATATGTTTTACAAGCATTTTGTCTTGTATTTACAATCTCCCTAAAAGCTCTATATTTCCTACCACACGTGGCTTTCACAGAGCAATGTCCTAGAAACATATTAGTGGGGGCATACAGAGTTAACAGGGCACTGTAAAGTAAATGTTGGCATGGCTAAATTATTTTTTAAATCTCATGTGTAAATATTTAAAAAGCTCATAATAAAAAGTACCACAAACTTCACAGAGATAGAAGGCCATAAAGGATGGATTTTTTTTTTTCTTTTGGCAGAGTCTCATTCTGTTGCCAGGCTGGAGTGCAGTGGCGCGATCTTGGCTCACCGCAACCTCCACCTCCCAGGTTCAAGGGATTCACCTGCCTCAGCCTCCCTAGTAGCTGGGACTACAGGCGTACATCACCATGCCTGGCTAATTTTTGTATTTTTAGTAGAGATGGTGTTTCACTCTGTTGGCCAGGCTGGTCTCAAACTCCGAACCTCGTAATCTGCCTGCCTCAGCCTCCCAAAATGCTAGAATTACAGGCATGAGCCACAGTGCTTGGCAAAGGCTGAAATTTTTACAACAAATTTTTGGCAATTTAGTCTGTTGTCTTTTTCAGCATAACCAGTCAGCAAGAATGAGTCTCACAGGGAGTTCTGCAGCAAGGGAGAAATCACATTAAACTTGCTATTATCAGAACATCCTGAATTCTTTATGCTTTCTTTTTAGTGTATTCACATAAATATATAAAAACCTTTTTTTTAAATGAGGAAAGCCTATCAAATACATTTTAGTCTGATATCTGTATATCTATGTATCTATATCTATAACCTTATAAGAGAGTAAGAAAAAGTGTCAACATCACTAAATTTTATAAATTTACCCAGCAAAGAATGGCTCCAGTTTTCAAAAACAAAACAGTAAAATGTCTAGATGGCTTTTCCATGTAAATGATTAGCCACAACCCCATGAACTAACCAACATAAACCGAATAAACACTTTTACAAAGTTGTTCTTTCTTCTGCATAAACAAAAGGAGACCTGACTCCAGTATAGACCTTCTGTGGATACTTTCTACCTAGTTTTGAGGCACAAACACAGATGTGTTGCACAACCCCATGAAATAACCAACATAAACCAAATAAACACTTTTACAAAGTTGTCCTTTCTTCTGCATAAACAAAAGGAGACCTGACTCCAGTATAGACCTTCTGTGGATACTTTCTACGTAGTTTTGAGGCACAAACACAGATGTGTTGCTCCTGTATAAAGGGAGGGTTTGACAGGGAAAGGTTATTCTAGCAGAGAAGGCATCACAGTGAAAAAGAAAATGAACCTAGGCAATAATGCCAGGACACAGTCCAAGGCACTCTATTTTATTATTTCAAAATACGGAAGCAGAATAGGCACCATTCTCTGTAATCTGAGTGGAGGAGCATATCTGTTTTTTAATCCTATTTCCTAATCAAAGATGAGTTTTGTGATTTTAACTGAATCTCTGACCTTAGGACCAGACTCAGCTCTTGTTCTGATCTTCCCAAAAAGTCTTATCTGTAAAATTCTGAGAAATGTAGGTTTAACAACGCTTTGTAAGGACAGAACAGAGAGGACTACAATGCACACCTGATTACAAACTTCAGAGATTCCTGTTAGACATTTCCTTCATTTCTCTAAAGGCTCTCTTACTGGTAGGCTATGACTTCCTGCATCTTGGAAACAATCTCCAACAAGTCTCTCAATTATCTATTATAATTCTTCTCCATTTGGACACCCATCTCAGAAAAATTCAATTCTCCTTTAGCTTCTCAGTGCTTGGCAGAACCAAAATTTAGTAGATGGCCAAACAAAAATATTCCATTTTTTCTACTATGTCCCTGCAGGGTTCTAAGGTCATTCTTTGGGTCAAGCAACAGAAAGAAACAACACAAAAGTTTTTTGTCTTTTTGAGAGGGAGTCTTGTCCTGTTGCCCAGGCTAGAGTGCAGTGGCGCCATCTAGACTCACTGCAACCTCCACCTCCCAGGTTGAAGCGATTCTCCTGCCTCAGCCTCCTGTGTAGCTGGGACTACAGGCACCTGCCACCACACCTGGCTAATTTTTTGTGTTTTTAGTGGAGATGGGTGGGGTTGGTTGCCAACTCCTGGCCTCATGTGATCCACCCACCTTGGCCTCTCAAAGTGCTGGAACTATGGTGTGAGCCACCATGCCCAGCCCACAAAACTTATTTTATATTTATTTTATTTATTTATGGGGATATGGTATCACCGAGCCTTTGGCTGAACTTTGAGCGGTATGCAGAGAGGTCTTTCCACTATGGATTC